CATAAAAATTACATTTTCATCAGCATACTCCAAATACAAACATACTCGAAAATCAGGCAATTCCTTCCAGGGGTTTAAAAGTTAGGTTGAAGTCCTTTGTGAATGACTGCAAGCATGGCTTTCCAGTCCAAACCAGTTCCACAGAGTTAGGCTGTGCAGCCGGTCTATCTCCTCCTCTATCCTGGAGATAATTGGCTTAACTGGGGGTGTGGCAAGCCAACTATCTTCAGGTACAGAAAATATCTCTATTCACAACAACAGCAAAAATACACAAAAATAAATAATTCCTATCATACTGAACAGAACCCCCACATTCAACCTATCCCCAGATAGCTTGGATCTGAGTGCTCAATATATCCGAACAGTGCTCAGATCCCATGAACAGAATAAAATCGCCATGGGGTTAAAGTTTAGCACGGGCTGATGAGAAGTTGAGGAAGGACAAATCAGCCAGTTTCATTTAGAGGGCCAGAACAGTTTTTTAAAGCACTAATAAGTCCAAATAGTGTTTTTAACTGGCAAAGTCTCCCAGGGGCCATAGTCACATGGCAAGAGGCCGGCAATTAGTCCTCTCCAGGCACAAGTGGCGAAGTTAGTTTCGCCACAACCAGGTTTCAGTTTCAAATATTTGTTGGAGATGTGAGATGGAAATATGAACTCTTAAACATATTTGGTGAGATTGCCCGCTTTTGTCAAACGTTAAATGTAACATTATGGGAATATTACAGGATTTAAATATAAATGTTCCTAATCTAACCCCTGAAAATGTCCTATTCCATCTCAATCTCCCAAATTTACCTAAGCCGACACTTAGTATACTAGCACATATTATATTGGCAAAAAAAACTATTTCTAGATATTGGAAAGGGAAAGAAACACCAAATTTAACTGAGATTAAAACTCAAATAAATTATCATGGAATGATGGAAAAATTGATTTATTTTAATAATGGAAATCTGGAGAAATACTATAAAATCTGTTCAAATTTTATGGCCCAAACGTATGAGCAAACTTGGGGAACCATGAGCAAACTTAACAATCCATTCTATATATTATTGATGGTCGGCCGTGGTTCAGTGCACAGTCATTTTGTCTCCCGAACACAGACAGCATCAAGTGTGTGGAACTAATTTCAGCTACACCTTCTCGCGAAGCCCAGTCAAGATGGTACTGCTATCTGTATACTTTCCCAAACAACTAAATGAACCATGTTCGGGAGATACGATCTACCGACAGGGGGGAGCATTTGCTATCTAAGAGCCAGGGGGAGCATTCGTCGATGTTCATGCCAAGACCAGCCACTGCCCTGGATTCTCTGGAACTCTTTTAGGGCATCACCTCATGGCCAGCCGGTGAACTCTTCTCCCGAATAGTGATCACGTTTCACCAAATCAATCTGAGCGATTTTCGGTTATGTTGTCCGCTTGGGTTTATGCTATTCTAAAGAATATAAGAATTGTGGGGTTTCTGTACTGCTTTATGTTTTTGAGAGGTTTTATTAAATGTTATGTATTTCATGTAGCTGAGAGATAATTCAGTTCTCTAAATTCCCAGTCCAAACATCTTGGGAAAATTCCCTGTAAACTTGTCCTGGAGACCTCATACTGGGCTGTGCATAAAAAGCCATTTGTGGGCTAATAAAAATAGTTGACTCACAGAACTGTGTGTCGACCATTTACTGGGGGAATGGGCTCTATTCACTAACCAGTGCTTCCGTTTCAGCTCCAGAGGATTACAGCGGGGATAGTTGGTCTCAGCATTGCAACTCCCCTACATATGGGATTGAGGGTGACGTGTCATAGGGAGCAATGGGAGAGAAAAATTAGAATGGCAGTAGTGTTCATTATAGACTGTAAAGAGGCAGTTTGAAGAGACCAATTTCCAATTTCTGGAGAGATCATTTGTGAGAGAATTGCAATAGTCCATGCAATAAATTACAAAAGCATGAACAAACTCCTTAGAAGCATCTTGCGTGAGAAAGAGACAGATGTGTGCAATGTATTTAAGATGGAACTGGAAGGATTTGGTGATAGACTGGATATGAGCTGTAAAGGTGTGCCAGAATCAAAGATAACACCAAGGCAGTGAGCTTTCAATGATGGGCTGGTGCATGTACCATCATCTTGCATGGAGAGGAACAAAAGAGGATTTGTACTATAATTACGGAAGAAAATACTCTTTTAGAATGATTGAGTTTTAGAAAGCAGAAGGACATCCAATCTGAGACAAAAAAGAGGCAACTGAGTGCAAGAAAGCAGGAGAGAAATCAAGAAAGGAGTGATGTATCTGAGTGTCATCAGCATACAAGTGGTAGTAGAATCAAAAAGACTTAATACTTTTGCAGAGAAGCAGTAAAAAAAGGAAACAGAAGGGGACCAATGATAAAGTCTTGAGGCACTCCAACTGGAACAGGATTAGAGGAAGAGGGGTTCTCCAAACTGGAAACAGCAAGGATTGTTGGGAGAGATAGTACAAGAATCATGAAAGCATAGTTTCACAAAGGCCAAGGGTGTGAAGACTTTGTAGTGTGTGATCAACAGTGTCAAGGGCAGCACAGAGGTCTAGAAGAATTAATATGGAGCATTCGCCTTTGTAGTTAGCCAAGATTATAAAATTAATCAGAGTAATCTTAGTAGAATGGAGACGGCGTCAGCCAGGTTGAAGAGGATTAAGGACAATAGGTTTGTAACGACCTTATTGATATTTAGGGCCTCCACCCACCGCTCAGGGATGGGGGCCAGGGGGGAGGACATTAGTTACTTTAGTTTAAAAGCCTCCAAGCGCATGTCGTGGGTGGGGGCTCAGGAGGGGGGAATGTTTTTGGTTTTTTTAACAGTGAGCAGCCACAGGCTGCTCACTGTTTAATAGACATGCTCCTACTCGCGGTATAGCGAGTAGGGGCATAATTTCATAATACTAAGTAACCAGTTTCACATGCTGCACTGGCCAATCAAAGCCATGCCATTAGTAGGCATGGCTGTGATGTCTTCTAAGGGCACATGAGTCAAACACTTGTTGATTGGCTGCCCAGCAGCCTTTCAAAACACGTCATTAAATCGCCGAACACCGAACTCCAACCCGAACATACACTGATATGTCCGTGTTCGGGTCTGGGGTCCAAAAACTGTAATGTTTGGTAGGAACACAAACTTTACAGTCCGCGTTCGCTCAACTCTATTTGTGAGTAAACATCAACATTGTGCCCTACACAGCAATCATCTTTTTTTTTTTTGATATCACAGGTGGAACTCCCAATCCCGAAGCAAACAAACATGCTTGCACACCATGCTAGCTGTATCCTAAGTTATACATCTGTATGGCACTTCAGTGATACATTTATTTGAAACTGCCAATTGGCATCATCTTACTCATCACAGGATGTGATGTATGGAGTTTCCCACTGTCTTCTTGGGTTTTCCATAAGCCTCAATGTTGTACAGTCAGTGCAGAACTGATGCGGCTCCTGGCTGAAGCCCCATGAACCAGAAAAGGGAAGGTCTGCAGGAACCTTTCATTGCATCCCATGGACAAAATACCCTAATATGGAAAGACCTCCAAAATTACGAAATAACTTTTATCTAGAGTTAAACTATTGTTTTTATAGTTTAATGTTAAATTATAGCCCCCAGCATCATGCCCCTGCGGTGCTGCTCAGGCTAATGAAGCAAGACTTCAATCTACTACAACCCCACATTCCTGGCATCAATTGGTACAGCTAAGCAAAAGTGTTATATCAATGGGGAACAGGTTGTGGGAGTCCTGTAACACTGCTTGAATGCAGAATTTGTTGGCGGTATATAAATGATAATGGAGGGACAGCGCCAAAGGACTCCTGGCACTATAACCAATTCAATAATCTTAAAAGTGTTTGGAGCCTAGAGTATCCATTTAACTGCTTACACCAGGGATGATTTCTCATAGGAAGATAATACTTAGAAACATACGTAAAACAAATATTGTTTCCCATAAATTTAAAGTGAACCTGATGGTGAAATTCAAATGTTCCTTAAAAATGTTTTATAATTGTCAAAAATTATCTCTTTTAACTTACCTTATATGAAACTTAATCAAGTTTCCAGGTACACTCCCTGTAATAGACCCAGAGCCAGTGGCAGATCCAGGGGGGGAAAACGGGGCAATTGACCCCCCCACCCCCAGAGAAAACCGAGGGTCTCCCTCACCCCTGCTGGCTAATGCAAGGACCGGGGGGAGATCAGCCTACAGCTCCTCCGGGTCCTTCTCTCGCGAGCGTGGAGCGTTGCCGCAGTTACCACATTAAAGGACCACTATAGTGCCAGGAAAACATACTCGTTTTCCTGGCACTATAGTGCCCTGAGGGTGCCCCCACCCTCAGGGACCCCCTCCCGCCCGGCTCTGGAAAAGGGAAAGGGGTTAAAACTTACCTTTTTCCAGCGCTGGGCGGGGAGCTCTCTGCCTCCTCTCCTCCTCCGATCCTCCTCCTGGGCTGAATGCGCACGCGCGGCAAGAGCTGCGTGCGCATTCAGCCCGTCGCATAGGAAAGCATTTACAATGCTTTCCTATGGACGCTTGCGTGCTCTCACTGTGAAAATCACAGTGAGAAGCACGCAAGCGCCTCTAGTGGCTGTCAATGAGACAGCCACTAGAGGATTAGGGGGAAGGCTTAACCCATTGATAAACATAGCAGCTTCTCTGAAACTGCTATGTTTATTAAAAAATGGGTTA